AGCGCCGCTTCAGGCACTCCGCCCATGTGGCCCGTGGCTGCGTCGCCGTTGGCCCTTGCCGCCTTGTGTCACGTTACCGCTGACAAAGACAAGGACAAACACTCAGATCCCCAACGCTTATACGGCCGCCGCATTGACCACAGACGTCATGCCACATGTCTTCTCAGTATTCGTGCGTGTCTCACATCTGTCGACGCTTCTGAAATACGAAGTGGCTACTAGAGATAATATAACGTGCCGTCTTCGGACTTTTCAGAAGGGCAACGTGAGAGGAGGAATTGATATCTCACCGACAGTCGCCCCATCCTTTTTGCAAAGCGCCGCGCTGCTCGTTTTAATGTGCGCTGACTATCTCAAACAGGCAAAGCTACGAGACTGCCGAAAGGTAGTAATGGAAGAAGTTTGTAGTTTCAATAAAACATAGAAGCTCTTTGTTGATTGAACTAATGGAATTGCGCCCCTGGGCAGGCAGAAAGGAAAGACTCTCGAAAATTTTGAACTTGAATCGGGGGTGTATTTGCAAAGTAACGACGCTGCACCCCACTTCGACTCATGACCAACGAGGTGCAAGCATTTCGCGAACATTCCTGATTGTCGAAACCATCTACGGAGCGCATCGCAATCTGCTCCCAGTGCCGATAGTCGAAACGTCCAGAACGACAGCAACCATCAAATCAGCGGCCACGGCTCTCCATCACAAATTTCCGCTTCAACTCCAACTCCCGACCATACCATGAAAACCAAATCCATCGTACCAAACGCTCACCTGCATGAGTCGGCTCAGAATAAAGGCCTATGATCACGACCCCGTTGAAGATGGTAAGCCGACTCGAGTCCACTTTCGGGCGACTCCTTCCCTGGACGCACCAGCCCGTGGTCGCCGGACACAGCAGCAGTGAACTCCCTCTCGCCGGCTGCCCACTTCCTGGTTTCTGTGCAAGAAACAAGTAGCAAAAGTCAATGCAAACAGTTCGGAGCGCAGCAATTGCGATCCCGGGGTGCCTAGAGTAAGGCCCATCTGGTGCACCGCCGCATCTGGCGCGACTTTCCGGTTCGGACCTGACCGCAAGAAACGGTTTCGCTCTTGATGCCATCGGAACGAACCTGGAAGACCGGAACGAGTCCGCTAGGGGCTTGTGCGAAAGCATGAGCCCAGGCACGCGTGTTTTACGTAGGAAAGAACATGGAAGAGAGTCCTCTGGACTAAGTCGGAAGAGTTTCAGGTAAGAAAGATAGGAGGAGCTAGAGTAAAAAGTGTGGGATGCCAGTCGATCCGAGTTGGCAACGGTCAGGTCTAACCGATATCTTGTACAACAGCTTTTATATGCGAATCCGATAACGCGGCTCCTTCGCTCAAGGACCAATTGGAACGGAAGCTTTACATCTACAGCTTTTCGATGGGTTCTGAGAGCTGAGAGACGCCAATAACAAGAAGCAATAGGAGCGAACGGAAAGCTAAGTGACCATGCAAAAACCTCTGATCGTTGCCGTACAGTCACTTTCATTCGAAAGCGATTGATGACTCTTACCAGTGCGTTAGCGACCTGCACCGTGCATCGATGACGTGGTGTCACGTGACGTCTGCAGGGGCCCGATCCTCTTTGCATGCGCAGGCCGTAACGTGAGCGGGTTGAGGCGATCTGAAAGACAGCGGAATGGTGACATGTGAGTTAAGTCGTGCACATCCGGATCGATGACTCAGCAGAAAGAAGCAGTAAAGCCAGACCGGGTGAGACCCGGACGAAGTCCAGAGACGCTTTCATAATGCACACGCCACATTTTCGGCATGTAACAGACAAGTCTGCGCCGAAGGATCACAGAAGACGTGCACAAATTTGAGTCGGTCGTACCCGGCTCAAATTTCGAGCCCATGTCCCGCTCCTGTCAACTCCTGTACGGATTCTTGAAACATGCAGAGCCGCCTGTTCTTTCAGTCGCACGATGTCAGAAAGCATGGTCATTTTGACGAGAAAACTTAAGAAGTTTTATCACATACGAGAACACTCGGAAAGTATGGTCACAAAGGAGAACACTCAGAAAGTGTGGTCACAAACGGGAACACTCAAAAGTTGGGGTCACAGTCGAGAACAGAAGCATTTCACCCACAGCTGTCGAAAGCGTGGTCGACACAAGTCGGATCAGTTCAGAACGTCGTCTATCTGACCTGTGAGATACTTAAGTCAACGAGGCATCACCTTGTTCCGGTCCTTCCGGCCAGACTTCTGAAGAGCGGAACTCCGCTTCTGTCTGGTTGCACCCAGCGAGCTGGCGGTAGACCATCTGTGCGGCCGTCGCCCCACGTCCGCGTATTCGCTCAGTTCCGCCCGTCCGCTGGGAGCGGAGTGCCCGCACCGTAGTGGCGGTTCCCTGGTACCGCTTGAGCCATCAACACCTGAAGAGAAGGTCTAAAGCTACTGAGAGGAGCCTCGAGGGAGCAGATTATTGCAAGGATAATAATTTGGACGATATGTCTTGAGCTCTGTTCTATAACCCATGATTGTTCAAGCCCAACAGGCTGGAAGTCTGTTCCGAAAACTACTCCGTGAAGTTACGTGTGGGATAATTAACACGAACAAGGCGCCTAAAGGAAAGCACACGCTGGCTGAAACTTTGCAAATCGGGCGTACAGAGTCCACGTTCAGAAAGGCCGAGAACGAACGTCACACTTCAATACGGGGCAGAAGAAACAACACACGTGTCCATAATCAGCCTCTGCTTTTTCGGACAACTTGCCGCTTCTTTGGTCCGACCAAAAAACGCCAGAGATCCAAGCTTTCAGGCGCGACTTCTTGTCCAAGAGCTTCTTCCAGATCGCATTTACCATGCACTAAGCAGTCGGAGTTCAAACGAAGCTGAAAATGGCTCGAAACACGACTTCGATGACCTTGTTAGCGCGAACAAGCCACAATCAGCCTAACCTGCTCACTATACAACGAACTTCGAAAGCAAAGCGACAACGACATGAGATATAGGAAAATGCTTACCGGTCAGACGGCTTCGCGTCCATATCAGCACCGGCCCCATCGGCCGTCATGAGCGGCGACCCCCCTTTGGCGACTTGCATCCCGAGCCGACTTTGTGGTCGCCCACTCCGTACCAGGACTCTTGTTTCCGGCAGCAGCGGACTACGTCTCGGTCGTCGCTCGTGCTTTCTCGTCCCTGCAAAGGCAAACAAACTGCTCTGAGTATGATCGTCAGGCCATAGCTTGACTTGAGGAGGTGACTCCCAAGTAAAGGAGCGAGCGACCGTCCTAGGTCTCAGCAACTAACGTACGATATAACAGTGTCAGAGAGTTGCCTATGATATGTTTCGGCTAACCCTTCGACCATATGTAATCGGCTGCTGAAGACATTATTCCAGGGTTAAAATAGGTGCGAGCCAAAGAGAAAACGAATAGGCCCTAAGGGTTCGAACCTGACTTGCTTGAAAAATTTGGAGACACATGCCTTGAGTGCAAAAGAATTGACCAAATGAAATCTTGCTTCCACCTTTTTTAAAGGCTCCGCATGATCTTTTAGACAAAGCCAGACAGGATAAACTTGGTCTGCGAACAATCAGGACAGATTGCGACCTCACCTCTTCAGCACGATCGCCCGAAGTGCCACGCGTCCGCTTCCGATCCCTTCTCTTTCTTCGTGCTTGACATCTGCTTGTGTCTTCGACCCATTTATGTGTTCCCGGTTTCGCGCTGCGCCATCGATCTCGTCCCTCCTTTCCTGTGAGTGAAGAGCGTCCGTATCATTTTGAGGCCAAGTAGGTGGTTAGGAAACGGGTCGAAATCGCCTGATCGGCCGGTTGTTAAGCTAGCGCGTGTTGAAGAGACGAAGTTCACGTTGAACCACTTCAATCTGCTTAGTCCACGGGCCTGAAACAAACCAGTACCTACTCTCGCGACATTCTGTTCGAGCAGCCTCTAAGCAGCCAAACGTAGAAAAGATCGAAAACCGAAAGCGAATGCAAAATTGCAGAAGGGCGCAATGAGCAGCCTTGTTGGATTTGCGCAATGTTCCATAACGTCGAAGATCAGCTGTGAGATCAGGAAAGAGCAGAGAAGGGCAACGAAATCAATTTGCAACCCTGCAAGAAACGCCGCTCGCTTCGAGACACAGACCTCGTAACATAGAACCGTGAGCAAGTCGGATCTCATGACGTCTGTTCCGTCGCCAGAAAGCACGACCTTCTTACCAGAATCGCACCAGTACTCGGGGCGTCAAAGGCAGTTAAAACTGCAAAGAATCGTCACTTCTGAATTAAACACACCTGTATTTTCTGTACTCCCATACGACCCCCGTTTCGCCGCGCCCCTACCGCGGCTTCTTGCTCGGGCCCTCTTTGTCAACTAGGCGCGGCAGCCTTTTCCGTCCGCCCGGGAACCCGCTCTCACTTTTGCACTCGTCACTCCTCACCCCTGACAGCTCTGCTTCCTGTTCAGGCGCAGCTTCGGATTCGGCAGCCCCAACCGCCCCTGCGCCTCCCGGCGCTCCGTCTGCCACTAAACCCGCACTCTGCAAACCGCTCCTGGCGTCCGTTAATCTCTCCAGTTGTTCTGCGAATCTCCCCGCGCTTGGCAGTCTACCCGCGGTCGGCAGAGCGTTCTCGGCTTCATCCATCGCCCCCGGCTCTCCTGGACCCCCCGATCCGTCAACCCAAAAACTTCGACCCAACCCGGAATCTCCCGACTCGCTTCGAGCCTCCCCAAATACCGGCTCCTCTTCTGACCCTCCCGCTCTACTTACCGCTCCATACGCAACTGGATCAACCCGGTTCGTTTCCAGCAAGCTCTCTGCGCTCCCCAACCCTCCATTGTCCCCCCCGCCCGAATCCAGGGCCGCCAACGCCTCAGCCGCGCAACTCCGAACGTTGCCCGTGGCCCTGCCGTCCAAAATGGCAATAAGAGCCGCTCGTACGTCCGGTTTCCCCTTCAGGACCATCCGCACCCCAGGATGGGCGGCCAAGTTTCGCAGCAGCAGAACGGCAACTGATGTCTCAACCCCCCCTTCTTCCGCTAAACGCACCACGGCCCCCAGACACCCCGGCAGGCTCACCATCTTCGCTGCATTCTCCGCTTCCTTCGCGAGAGCCGCCAAAACACCCCCCGCGTACGCCCGAGTAGCCGCAGCCCCTCTGCCTAATAGTGCCACCAGGTTTTCAATAGCACGAGGCTGCTCATTGGCCGCTCTCACGACCGCTTGCTCAACTCCGCTGTCTTTTGCCAGCCAGGCCAACGCACCCACTGCATTTGAGCAGACCACTGGATTCACCGACTCCAGCATTCGGAACAATGTGCCAAGGCACCCCGGCACACGCGCCATCACTGCCCTGCCCTCCGCACTCAACGCCAGCTTGCATAGACTTGGCCCCGCGGCCGCTTGTGCCGCTGCGCTCCCATTGTTCAAAGCGTCCGATAAACCTTCCACAACGCCCGGCACCTTGGCAACGAGTCTTCTGACCTCCGGACCACTCGGCCCCGTCAGGCGCAACAGGACCCTTCCGGCGAGCTCCGAAAGCCTTGGCTCACTCTTACCGATGCAAGCGACCAGCTTCTCTATGCACCCCGGCACGTCCACCATTCTTCTCGCGCCTTCTGGGTTCACAGCCACGTGGTGCAGGACATCTGCTGCATTCTGCTGCAGCCAGAACGGCCGGCCCTCCAGAAAACCCACCATTTTCTGTAGGAGCTGCCCCCTGGGATCAGTGAAAAGTCTCCAGAATTCAGGCCCCTTCATCAGGTGCGAGAGCATCATTCCTACCAACTGCACCGCACCTCCTGTCCCCTCTTCCAAGTAACTCACCAAATTGTGGAGCACTCCAGGAAGGTCAGCGATAGCTCCTTCCTCCCCTAACGCAGTCAGCAGTGCTGCGGCCGGGGCTTGCAGACCGATGTTCGAACTCCCCTCCAAAAGTGCAACCACCTTTTCGACACACCCCGGGGACTCCTTGATTGCGCGGCACGGCTCCTTCTCCAGCGCCAAGAGATTGAGGACCAGAAGAACCTCCCCCTTAGCGCAATCGCTTCCGTCTAGCCCCTTGAGAAGTCTCTCGAAAACCCCAGGAACTTTCGCCACCGCTTTCCGGGCTTCAACGTCCATTGCCAGAAACCTCAAAGTAGCCGCCCCCGCTTCTTGGAGGTCGGGCCTACATTCCAGGAGACCAACGAGCCCCTCAAGACAGCCAGGCATGCCCGCGACGATTCGCTTCTTCTCCGCCTCTTGGCGCACGCTCTTCAGAAGCTCCATCAAATGCTGTAACGGGCTCATCCCGCCCTCTGGCGTGGTCCCCTCCATAAAAGTCATGGAAGAGAGTAACCTGGGCAACACGATTGCCTCCCTGGTTACCTGGAACCCCTTCAATGCCACGGGGCTCTTTGTCGAGCAACGTGCCAGCACATCGGCTGCCGCGCACCTTGATTCTTCTTTAGGCGAACTCGCAAGCGCGACGAGGTAACCAACAAACTCCGGCAATTGAGCGAGTGCCTCATCCATCCCCTCAACAAGTCGCACCACTTGGGCTAGCGTCTCCACTGCACCATTTTGCAACCACACACTGTTGCTGCCCAGAAACCCCACGAGCGTCTGTATGCTCCCGTCAATCTGACACAGCGCCTTGCACGTCTCCGCATTACCCGTCAGGATTGTCAGAGTCTGCAAGACGCTTTCCACTCGCGCTTGAGCTTGCGCCTCGCCTAAGGCGGCCCTGTTCAACACTGCAACTAACGCCTCCAACAAACCGGGACAGCTGCCATTGCCTCCCTATGCAACCGCACAAGGCTCCCAACCACATTTACCGCCTTCAGACTGACGAGCTCGTCTCCGCTCCCCATTATGTCCAACTGCTGCCGCAAAAACGGCTCAACTCTGCTCATGGCAGCCCCCCACTCTCCGTCCCGCTTCAGCTGCAACAAAATGCTCGCAACTGCCGTCTGCACGTCAACGGGGTTTCGCATGGTCAGAAGGTTGGCAACCTTCTGGAGGAGAGTCGTCGATCTGGCAAGTCTCTCCCTGACCCCTGCTCCCCTGCTCAAATGAAGCAGAAGCTCGGCGGCTCGCTCTGCCAACTCCTTATCGCCCAGAGCGCCGACTAGAAGCCCAAGCAACTCTGGCATGCACCCGACAACCTCCCCAACCTCGTCGTCCTCTGTCAAGCACGCGAGCAGCTCTGTCGCTTGTGGTGCCATCAGATCATCGGCATACTCTTTCAGGAAGGCCCCCAGCTGCGGCAGGCATCCTGGTACACTGGCCATGAGTCTCCTGTTCTTGGGGCACGTTGCAAGGCTTCTGAGCGCTTCGAATGCAGAGAATCTTCTGTCACCCCAACCCTCCCGGTCACAGAAGATCCCCAGTAACGTCTCAACAAAGCCCGGCAGCTTTCCGAGCACCTCTCGACACGCTGCGTCTGAGGACAGCTCACTCAGCATATGCACAGCCCAGTCTTTCTGCTCGCTTTCCTCTGAGAAGCTGCCACTGCGCAGGAAGCCTAGAAGCATCGGTAGACCCCCTGGGACGGTCGCCAATGCAGGGTTCCTAACATCCAACCCCAATTGAGCCTTTCCCCACATGTAAAACTTCTTGAGGGGGTTAGAGCCGTAGTTGTGGTTCTGACCATCTGAAAGCTCCAGGCTCTCTAACAAAGGGAAGCTTTGGAGGAAAGTACCGGATTCGCCCACGAAGAAGAAGCCAAACAGAGTGAGGGATCGCAGGGCAGGAAAGGGTTTGAGGCAGAGCTGGTCTGCATGCAGGACACTATTGTCCTCTGTAACAACACTTGAGGCAACCCAAATTGCAAGATGAAGGACCTCCAGGTTCTTGCACTCCTGGAAGAGGGACAGAGCGCTGTGCCAGTCTACCTGGGTTTCCTCATCTTTGTCATCTAGGAAAAGGTAGATCTCCTTTAGCGTTTCTCGCGCTGGGGGAACAACGGCCTGGAGGATCCCCTGCAACGTGCTTGGGTGCGCGACATTGAGAGCCAGCCGCTTCAACTGGAGCCCCTCTTGCCTTGCATCCGCAAAATGCAGAAACTTCTGCTCATCATCAACGTTGCCAATCTCCCACTCAAGGATTTCGAGAGCAGGGATTGCTTCCCAGAATTGCTTGCAAAGCAACCCCAGATGCAACTTCCTCCTTGCTTTTGTAACGCCAAGTTCAAAGGGGCTCCACAGGACGCGCCCCATGATGTTTTTGACAAGATCTTCGGGCAGCCGCTCAAACGGGTTGACGGTAGCGGGCTCCATGCTGCAATCCCCTATCCACTTTTCTGCCCAACTTCGATCCAGCTGAGCGCAATGCGAGATTATAATGCAGCTCAAGACAGAGGAGCCGTCAAGTTGTCAACAACTCCGAGTCCTGGTGCTGCAATCGGGCAAGAGGCACAAAGTTGCTGAATAAATTTTGGTGGTTTCGGACGCGGTACTCGACGGTTTGGACGTGGTTGGAGACTCAAACCTGGTCGGGTAGCCTCAAAGCCCACTAAAAACCTAAGACCAATGCAACCCTAACAAACCGTCACAGGGAAGGGGCGTAACCCTAAAACACAGTCAGTGCTTTGTGACTTGACCCTAAGGCTAGTACGAGGGCCCGGTTGAAGTCGTGGTACTAGGTCCGGTCCTCGTACAAATTCCTGGCGGTGGGTACCGTTCCGGTCGATCGACGGTCTCGATCGACTCTACAAAAGTTTATTCGGGAACTTTTGTCCGTTTTGCGGCAGTGGCACTAGGTGTCAAATGCGCAGCCTTGGGCTGCTGTTGATCAGTGTACTAGTAGATATCCTACTACAGCTTCTTCCGAGCATCCGGCTAGTTTTGGTGAAAATATTAGTGTAACTTAGTCAGTCTGTTGCTGAGTAAAATTAGTCTAATCTAGATGACACTAAAACTGGCAGGTTGGTGGGGAGAAGCTGTAGATACTACCGGTACCTACATAGGTACGTACGGTGCACCTGGGATCGGGCGATCCCTCGAGAAACTTGAAAAGGTTGCTTACGCGCGTTGCTCGCGTTAGCCATCAAACGGTTCTAATACCATGCTGAGATGCTGAGGCTGGAATGCGCCATAGCTGCGTTTTGTGAATCTCGAGTTTGTATCAGACTATTTGGTGGGCAGCACACTGCAGCAACCGTGATTTGATTACTTTGGTCACTTTGGAGATAGAGTGATGTATTCTTCCTACCCGTACTGGCCAACCCTATTCGCACAACCCCCTTACGAATAATTATTTTTTCGACTTTTTGATTTCGCACCGGGCATTTGACAGTTTCCAGGTTTTCGCAGCGGGGGTGTTATATGTGCTAAAAAGGCCATTCCCCAGCCAATCTGGCGGAGAATCTGTTTCACCGAATTACTTGCTAGTTTCGCGAGTTCGCCCCAGGCCTTCGAGAATATCCGAATTTTCCCGCACAGGGCTGAATATAAATATTTTTCGTGCGAATGGGGTTGGCCAGTACGGTAGCTCACTGACATAGTTCCACAATTGTGTGCCACGAGCCCGGGGTGGCAACTCCCAGTTTTAAAACATGGTATCTGCGGATTAAAACAAGGGGTTTGGCCGTTTTGAAACTTTAAAACTGCTTTTTAAAACGTTTTAAAACAGTTTTAAAACGGCATGAAAAGTCCAATTCTCGGCCCAGGACCAGGCATATTGGCATATGGTCTACGGGCTTTTTTGGGCCGTGGCATACGGCATATCGGGAATTTTGGGGCTTGGCATATGGCATATTGCTCAAACAATATGCCAATATGCCAAAAAGCATAGCAAATATCGGAAAGAGTTATCAACATTCTCGGCTTTAGAAGGATTGTCAGTATCCCCTGATTTCTGAAATTCTGCTCGGTTAACAAGCTCGTATGGGGCTCGAGCAGATCAAGTTCTCGCAGAATTTTGATAAAGTCCAATCTAAACCTTGCAGATTGCTATGCCAGTTTATAGCCTGGCAGACTCGCAAAATATGAGACCCGGCGCCCTGGTAGGCCCCTCGAGACGTGACTTTGCACTTTTCGATCGGCCGGTCACGCCGGGCGGGCCGCGGCCTGCCAGGCTGTGCCCGGCTATGTAAACCTTGAGCAGCCCATACGATAACCGCGGCGGAAATTTGAAACGTGTGTGCTGCCCAAGAGTCACCCCCTCGCGGACAGTGCCACTTCGTCATCCCCTGCTGTACGCGAGCCCGCGCGCGCGCGGAAGGAGTTTCGCGCGGCGGCCGGCGACCGAGAAGATATTTGGGTGGCGTTCAGCCGTCGACGGCGACGATGAAGACCACCAGTAGTTAGAGTCGTAGATTTGGTGCTAGTCCCGGTTCTGCGGGATAGCGTTTGGTTGGTAGATTAGAGGTGGCGTTCCGAAGTCTTCGAAGTCGGATGGACCTCGATTGCGTAGGAGATTGCGTATTCGTGTGAGTAGAAGTGTAAGTGTGAGTGTG